TGGGGCCGGTTTGGCTCAGTGGATAGAGTGTCAGCCTGCAGATTGAAGAGTCCCGGGTTGCAGGCTCGATCCCCAGTAGGAGGCGTGCAGGAGGCAGCCAGTCAATGATTCTCTCTCATCATTAATGTTTCTATCTATCTCTCCCCTTGCTCCCTTCTTCTCTGCAATGATGTGTCAGCATTTTGAAAAACCCTAACTTAACTCTGGTGCCTTATCACACATAGAAATTTTTTTTTGATATTTGCAACCATAGTAAAACAAAGACTTATATTTTTGATATTTATTTTATATATTTAAATGCCATTTAACAAAGAAAAATCAAACCAAAACATGAGTTCGCGTGTCACCTCTGACACGCGTCATAGGTTCGCCATCACTGTCCTATGCCCTCCACTTTCCCTGTCCTCCTCCACCTGCAATCACTACACTTGTCCATGAGTTCTCCCCCCGGCCTTTTTTCCTTTTTTTCTCAATCACTCCACATCTCGCGTCTCCCAAACGCCTGCCCCACAGCTGTCAGTGAGCTCTGACTCCGTCTCTCTTTTGCTTGTTAGTTCGTTTTGCACGGTGTTGCTGCCAACCCAGCAGAGTCCTGGACTGCCTTTCAGCCAATAGGACTGAAGCTTTCCTCATCCAATAGGAGGTGCACAACTCCGACCAACCAGAGTGGCTCTATTCTGATCAGTCAACAGGGAAGGGTTTGAGTCCTCATTTGCATGAGGACAGACCAATCAGGGACCAAGGATGGGAACTTCTGTCCATATAGGCCAGCTTCTCTCTCCAGGGAGACTGTTTCACTAGCGCAGAGCCACGCCCACTGCCCAGGCCAGAGTAGAATGGTCACAATTGAGCTGTTTTGTGCGGAAAGTTTCTTCCTTCACGGTGCCCCCAGATTGGGGTTTCCTGTTGGTGTTAAAGTTGCGCCAACGACCTGGGGAAGCGAATGAAAAGGGGTTGAGCCGAGCTGGTCTCTCTGGCTGGTTTGCGCAGACACGCCCTGCGTCACGACTCCGGGAGACACGGCGACAGAGAGCTCCCCGTGCAGGAGGGGTCCGGGCCCAGTCCAGGGGCCCAGCTGGCTCTCAGCGTCTCAGTGCGATGGAGTCTGGGGCCCGGAAAGTCCCTGGTTTCACTTCCTCTCACAACCTGTGTCGCGTCCTCCTTCCTGGAAACTCATGACGCCGTCCCCCGCTCTCACTCCCATTGGGTGCCTGTTTGTACAGAGGCGGCCTCACCGTCATTCCGGTTACTGTGCGCCGCGGGCCGCCCGCACTAGAGCCTCCCCAGACCCGGAGAATGTGGACCCAGAGGCCCCACACCCCGCTCCTGCTGCTCTCGGGGGCCCTGGTCCTGTCCAAGACCTGGGCGGGTGAGTGCGGGTCGGGAGGGGCCGCCTCTGCGGGGAGGAGGAGGGGCTCGGCTGGGCCCAGGA